ATATGTTAAAATAAATACAAGATTAAAAAATAAATAAATAAATAAAGCTTATACTATGTGGCTTTGTTGCATATCAATGGGGTGAAATGTAATAACTGAATTTTTTTAAAAAAAAATAAATAAAAATATAGAAGAGAAGAGAGAGAGTGAGAGGAGATAGTTCAGATTAAGGGAAGGGAATGGACAACTGGAATGATTTATCAGGCTGGGTATAAATATGATGAGGAAAAGAAGAAAAAAAGAGAAAAAAAAAAGGGAGAAGAGAGGAGAAGAGGCAGTCTGTCGAGGAATAGAGAGAGAACTGGAGAGAGAGGAGACATTAAGATGATTGAGAGAATTTTTGTTGTGTTGAGAACAATGGAGGCAAAAAGTATTATAAATCGAAACTTAAACACTAAAAATGACAATTTGTAGTTAAATCTTATGATGTGATGGTTGCTTGTGTAATGGACCCTGGAAGAGAGAGAGAGCGGGCCAATGGAGAGGATAGGGAGCCATAAAATCCTAAGAGAGTCGGTTAGGAAGGAGATCGAGAGGAGGAAGTATGGTAGGTGAAATGGTGAGGAACTTGAGCGGGAGGGATGAGCAGAAATGATACAAAAAACGTGTATATATGTATATGTCATTATATGTCTATGCACTAGAATATCACCAGAGAGAGAAGCAAATTCGAAAAGGTAGGGACTAGGCAATGAAATGTGTGAAAATATGTAAAATAGTACTTGATAGTCAACAAAGAGAGAGAAAACTGGAGACTTCAAAGTTAGGATAAGAATGGAGTATGGAACAGGGATTATGATGGCTAGAGTGTCCTGAGAGGGACAATTAAAAGAGATGAGAGAGAGAGAGAGATAGATGAGAGAGCAATATGAAAACAGGAAGTGTGGGATTGATGTTACAAACAGTGTGTGTTACTAAATAGGGGGAAGTAGTGGTGTGAAGTGAGGGAGAAATAATAATGTGTGTGTGCATGTTACAGGACATGAATAATGAATATGTAAAAACTGTATAGACTCTATTGATTGTATGTGTATGCGGATATAGAAATGAACTACTCTATGTGCTAATTGAATATTAATGCCTTTATGAAATGTTCTATATTTGTTGAATATGGATGTTTGTATGATGAATGATTGTGATTGTGGAAATGGTATAATTGCAATCGTGGTATTTTTCTGGTGTGAAAATGCCGATGTTGGCTGTCAATGGTTATTGGTAATAGAATAAGGGGGAATTGCCAATATTGGTGATGGTTGAGGGTTACTTGGAGGGTAACAGTGTGAGTGTATGACCAATTTGGGGTTGATATTGACAGAAATGTGGTAAGTCATGTCGCCGATATTGGTGATAATTGGAGGTTGCTGGAAGGGTAACGGTATGAGTGTGTGGCCGATTTAGGGTCGATGGTTGGCAAAAATAGGGATAGGTTAGGTCGCTGATATTGGTGATGGCTGGGGGTTACCTAAAAAGTAATGGTGTGGGTGTGTGGCTGATCTATGATCGAGTGGACAAGTATTTTGTGTACTGTTGTTGTGGCATATAATGATGACCTTACGTGGTAAGAGTTGATGCTTTTTTTTTTTTGGGGAGAGTTGTGATTGTAGTGGAGGTAAGCACGTAAGGGGAGAAGAGTATGGGTAGGAAAAACGAAGAGGCTAATGGAAGTAAGAGTATGGGAAGTGGGGCATTAATATAGGCATTTAAAAAACGAAGAGGCTAATGGAAGTAAGAGTATGGGAAGTGGAGCATTAATATAGGCATTTAACTGAATTTTCATGTTATGTTTATCTTTTGAATTTATTTTACTGAGCTTGTGTATGCTCATTACTTATCATTTAGAGATAATGTAGTATAAGAAACTAGACCAGAATTGCATTCTTCTGAGCTTAGGGTGTAGAGGAGACTGAATGGGAAACGCAGGTAGTGAACTGGAATATTTGTATAGTTTGCGGAAAGTAGACTATTTTGAAATAAAAATTGTGAAATTGTGATCTATGATATTGATAGATATATAATGGAGAAAATTTAGACATTAAATGATTAAATTTATTTTTATTTCGTTTTGTGATTGTGTATGATTTAATGATCTATTTTCCAATATTATTCGCTGCAAGTATCTATTAATGGTATTATTACTAATTAGTTCATCCATTCTCTTTGCATTCATTAAAATGACCAGTTGTTCCCTTATATTTTTGTGTTTTGTATTAAGAGGTTGGTATGGATGATCCACTAAAAAGTGGTCAATAGCTCTTGAAAGACCTTGAGGATGGGTCATGAAGACATCTATTACCATTAAAGCTTCTTTGAGGTTGCGAATGATTTGTTGTTATTTGTCGAAGCTTCTTTGAAACAAACATGGATTATCAAAACTTGTTTTGATGCCTTATATGAGAGTTCAAGAATATGAATTAATCTTTCTAAGTCTTGTTATGTGAGTAAAGGCTTAGCTAGAAAACAAAGTGAGATTAGTACCATTTCTCATACTACTTATCTTAGGAGATTCCTCAATGTCCTTCTTTTACGTTTTATGACTAACCATCATGTTTATTGGGACTGCCTGGGTGGCAAACTCCTTACTTATATTCGGTTGGTCATTCTACATTGGTTAAGTATATTTTGTTGACCATCTCTTTTTTTACTATGCAAACTAATCTCTTGTTCCTCCTCGTTCACCTCAGTTATAAAACATAAAATGATATGTTTAACTAAAGTTAAACGGAGCTATCTATACATTTTTTTTTAATTTACTTTTTGGGTCTATTTTAAATCTCCTTCCCCTAATATGGTTCGTAAATTTAATTATTGAATTTTATTTTGAAATAGATATCACGTACTAACATTTGCATTATACTACAGAATAGGCACCTAGCACATTTTTGTTCTATAGGATTAGTAACGACTCTCGTTTTTAAATAAAAATAAAATAAAAAATTAAAATTAAAAAAGTGATCATTCTAAATTTTATAAAGTCATTTTGTCATCGGGGTCATACAAGTTGTTACAATATAAGTTATGGTATGTAATAAATTTTTAGTACATTATTATTAAAATTAAAGATAAAAAATTTCGTAGATATTTGGAGTACTCTCTAACGGATTTGATTTTAAATTAATCAACTATGCTGTATAATATTTTTTATTAATTAAATTAATTACTATATAATCTGACGTAGATTTTTTAATTTTTTAAAAAATCATCGTAGATTATAACTATTATTATATTTTTAATTATCTAAAAAATTTATTGAGATTTTTAATTAAATAAAAATGTAACTTATATTTATATATTTAAAATTATTTAAAAAATAAGAATATAACATGTGGTACTTGTGATTATTATATAATAAATAAATTAAATTGATTTTTAATTTTAGTTTTTCAATTTCTTCTAGTAAACATAAACCAAAATAGAAGAGAGAGTTGCGTGCAAGAATAAGCAAAATTAAATAAAATAAAATCACATGGATAGTGGAATCAAATTTGTATATTTCTTTGTTAATATAATAATAATAATAATAATAATAATAATAATAATAATAATGTAATATTAAAGATAATTTTGTTTAATTAATTAATTAATTAGATTAAATTAGAAGTTAATCAAATAAGTTGGAGCCTACAATGCGTATCAATGAAGTGAAATTCCCACTAAGCCATCATCACCATCGCCATATATATTGGAGTTTGAACATGTCAAAAGATATATATATATATATATATACATATAAATCTATTCATTTGTGTGTATTACAACTAATTAACCATAATCTAATTCATTGTGAAAATTAAGTTATACTGAATTATTTTATTAAAAAAATAATTTTACATGTGACAATTTTTTTTTTAAAAAATTATAATTTATTTTTTTAAAAAGGTAAATAAAGAATTAATACGGTTAGGCCTTCCTATTTGGGACGAGAGACCATTGTAGGAGTTCCCTTAAAGCTCCGAGCCCAGATGGTCTCCGTACCAACTTCTTTGAGAAATATTAGAAGATTGTCGGGGATAGTGTTAAATCGTTTGTTAAATAAGTCTTTGAGAAATTCATTGACATTACTTTTATTAACTTTATTGACCCTTATTGCTAAAAAACATAATTTCAATACTTTTATTGATGTATTAATCTGTATAATATATTGTAATAATTTTATTTATTTTTTAAAATTAAATTGATGATTTACATTGCAAATCATCCGGGGGGTGAACCACCCCTACCATGTCGTGATGAATCCACGTAGCAGTATTCAAAGGCAACTCATCCACAATATGGACACTAAAGTGCGGGCACTGGCCATAAGCGGCGAGATGGTCCGCAACATAATTAGTTTTAGGGTAAACATGGGCGAGATGGTCCTGCCAATTCAGGGATAAGAGCTGTTTGACATTCTTTGTCAATGGAGAGTATTTCTTATTCTGACCGCTATCACAATTAACTAAATCAACGATGTATAAACTATCGACTTCGACAATGAACGTTCTGATACTTAGACTCCACGTAACGGCGAGGCCCTCAAATAGGCCGCGGAGCTCAGCTTTCGTGATGGTACAACTACATAGATTAATAGTTAGGCCTTTTATCCAATTACCTCTGGCGTCTCCGATCACGCCCCTTGTGGAGGCACGGTTACCGGGGCTCTTACAAGTACCACCACCGGTGCTCAAAATAATTCAAATATGTTATAAATGCATTTTTTTTTATTTGTAGAAGAAATTAATTGAAAAGAATGTGGAAAAATTAAAATAAGAAGGGCATAATTAAGTTGTTTATTAAATTTTGTAGATTTGGGTATTTTAGTTTGATTAAGCTGCCATTAGATTAAGAAGTTACAACTCAAACTTTAGAAATCTTTTATGGAAGAAGTCACTAGAGTACTCCTAGGTAATTAATTTAATTCCATCCAAACATGTCCCATTATAAGAACCCTTCCCCATCTCTGTCGATCTCCATCAAGTCATCAAAAGTTTCTCTCTCACTCTCTCTTCTTCCTCTTGCTCTTCTTTCTCCTCTAAGTACAAAACATACCCAAGAACCTACTTAGAGGGTCTTTTTGAGGAAATTCTTTTAGGTTAAAAAAGAGTAAATGGGTTCATTAGTGGGTCATGTTGCACCAGGAGTTGCCATCTTTTTACTTGGTTTTTGGCACTTACTTAACAACATAAGGCTCCATTATCTCCACCCAAATTCATACACTTCATCTCCATGGTTTCCCACTTCTAAATTCAGATATGCAGAACTATGTTTTATCATGGTTGGCACATCAATCTCCATAGCCATGGAGCTTTTCATTGGACCTTCAAGACACCAACCCTTTGACCCAGACGGCACCATCCCTTCTTATCACCTCCATAACTTTGAACACTCCTCTATCTCTCTCACCTTTTTTGTTTATGCAGTCCTTGCCATCCTCCTTGACAGAACCCCTAATCACCCTGCTAGAGACATTAATCTCATCAAAGGTCTAACCCAGTTGATTGGAGCTATAGCTTTTGCTCAACAACTCTTTCTTTTCCACCTCCACTCAACTGACCACATGAGTGTGGAAGGACAATACCATTTACTCCTCCAATTTATAATTGCAGTGTCCTTAGCCACAACCCTAATGGGAATAAGGTACCCTAAAAGTTTTCTGATCAGTTTTGTGAGGTCCATTAGCATAACTTTCCAAGGAATATGGCTTATAGTCCTGGGTTACATGCTTTGGACTCCTGGGTTGGTTCCTAAAGGCTGTTTTCTCAACTTTGAAGAAGGGCACCAAGTGGTCAGATGCTCAAGCCAAGAGGCTCTAGATAGGGCTAAGGCTCTGGTCAACATTGAGTTCAGCTTGTTTTTGGTGGGTATCACCATTTTTGCAGTGTCCTTTTACCTGGGTTTGGGTAGGATGTATGGTCTGAAAATTGTGGAGTATTCAACTGTCCAAGAAAATGATGAAGGGGAAGAAAGTGATAGTGATGTGGAGTCACAGAAGAGATCAAACAAGTTACTTCAGGATTCTAAGAGTTTAATTCATATGGGAAAAGCATCTAATTAAGCCAATTGGCACTGAAAGGTAAAAGAATGCATATATATATATATGGTGGTAAACGATATATTGGTTAGTGGACATGATTAGGTGTATGTTGGGCACAGGTTGGTGGGATTGAGTTTGTGTTTCATCTTATTTAAGCCTGCATATTCTATACATACATATATTTATATATATATATATATATTTCTGATTAATCATGAAAAACCAAAATATAAAATTTGGGGGTTTTTCTTTTCTTAAGTTGAAAAAAAAAAAAAAAATTGTGATAGTTCATTAATTGTATTTGTAATTGTTTGTAATTAATCTTGAACTTGTGCAAATTCCCACTTGCATATTTTCATTCTTAATTTCTTCTTCTTTATAAAAATTATGCAGAGATTAGCAGCAAAGTTTAAGATAAACTCTGTATGTATATGTGTATATATTTGTATTTTAGTAGCTAATTAAACTAATTAATCAATCAATTAAGATGGTGATAATTAGCTATATCCTCATGATATATATAATATTATTTTAGTTGTATATATATCTACATATATATATATATATATAATTTTTAGTAAATTATTATTAGTTTACCAAAACCAAAATGAAATAAGGTGGCAAAATAGTAGAGAGAGTTGTGTGCAAGAAAAAAGCAAAATTTAAAAAGAATCAAATTTGTATTTTAGTTTAAGAATTTTCTTGGAAGTTGACTCTCGCAAATCTTTCTGTCTTAATATAATAATATAATACTAGGAATAATTTTAATTAATTAATTAGATTAGATTAAATTAAAAATATATATATCTATTGGTGTGTGGATATGTACAACTAATTAGTCATAATCCAATTCATTGTGAAAATCAAGTTATACTGAATTATTTTATTTAAAAAATAATAATTTTATACATGTGACATTATTTTTAAAACGATCGTACGAGTTTCCTTAAAGTTCCGAGCCCAGATGGCCTCCGTACCAACTTCTTCGAGAAGCATTAAGAAGTTGTCGAAAATAGTGTTAAATCGTTTGTTAAAAAAGATTTTCGAGAGATTCGTTGAAGTTACTTTTATTAACATTATCAGCCTTTATTACTTCAAAAAAAAAAATAATAATCTCGATACTTTTACTAATGTTTGGCGTATTGATCTCTGTAATATAACTTATAAAATAGTTGTTGAAGTTCTCAAAGTAAAATACGTACGAGAGTGTAATTTAATTCGAATTTTTAACCTGACGTAGAGAAAGAGATGTATTTAGGATTATCGAAAAAAGAAAAAAGATTAGTGACTTCGTAAATGAGAAGCGCGTGAAATTACATGCCATGTTTTCTTTGTGACTAAGAGAATTCGCCAAATTACTTCCTATGACAACAAAAGCCATAAAAACAGAAGATAAAAGCAAATCAATTTTGGGTTTTTGTTCTTTTGGTTTTTTATTTTTTATTCTTTCCCTAATTTTATAAAAGCAATTCAATTGATTTGGACATGGGCATGTAAATTACCAATTTGATCAAATTCTTTTTCAAGTCTTGGTGTATAAATCTTATCCTTCAAGCCACCAAACAAAGAAAGAGACATGTTCTTCACATGATTTATGGGTTTTTTTTTTTTTTTTTTTTCCTAAAGTCAAAATTGTAATGATTTTTTTTTTTAATTTTAAAAATAAATTGATGAAAAAAATAATTTAAATATGTTGTAAATGCATTTAATTGAGTAATTAAAAAGTTGGGTTGTTCAAAATTTTTTTTTTTTTATTTGTAATTGAAGTTAATTGAAAAAAAAGTGGAAAAATTAAAATTAAAAGGGCTTAATTAAGTAAGTTAATTATATTTTGTAGGCATGAAGCTTGATCCCCAAGGCATTAAACAAATGAAAGGCATAGTTTTGTCATTTGGGTATCTTCCTTTCATTAATTTTGGGGGCAAAAGGAAAATGAAAATTGGGTAACTTATTAACTTTTTTGAACATAGCCAAATAACCCTATTTTGTCAAACACATACAATATACAAAGACCCATATGCATATATTATATATATATATATACCCATTATATAATAAGTCATAGGTCTTGATTCCCAAAGCTGCCATTAAAACTAAAGAAGTTAAAATTCCACACTTAGAAAAGGTTTTATGGGAGTCCCTAAAGTACCCCAAGTAATTGATTTT